GGCTCTCAGACTCCCGATTGACACTCGTCCCACTAAGCTGCTCTCCTCCCCCCGTTTATTGTCCCCTAAACCGGCCGGGTTGAGGCGAGCCGTCGCTCGGCCTGGAGAGGACGAGGTCGGGCTGTGGTGACCGGGGTCAGAGGTCAGACCTTTATTCAGGAAGTCATAGGATTATTTACATCCTGTCCGACCTGATTAATAGACGGTTTACTACTGTTACTACACTACAGTTTGTAATTATTTCCTCAAAAAATATCTACCTGAATTTTTTTTTATTGATTTTATTGATTTGAGATTTTATACATAACACCTATATAGTAGGGCTGTCAATAGATTAAATGTTACCAATAGCACATATTGAAATTCGTTAATCTCAACTAACGGCAATTAATGAATAATGTTGTTACAATGTTGTTTATAATAAATGTTTGTCTTCTAAAGACTAAATCTTAATAGTAAGAAGTAATGACTTTAGAAAGCATGTATTTTAGACACAGTTGTTTAACTGTTCGTGTTGGAGGCAGAATTCCTCCTGGTGGAACACGTTTGAACCAGCGTCTCTTCCTGTCGTCCTCGTGCACTTTGCTCTCAACTCTCCATCATTTAACGTGTTTAAAGTGCCAACATGTCCCACATTCAGCGGGACGTTTTAAACCACGTCTTTTGGGGACAAAGTGGTCCATATATATATATATATAAATCATATTTCATCCTATATATATATATATAGGATGAAATATGATTTTGAAATGAAAAGAGCCTTTTCCATGTAGAATTTGCCAACGCATAAGTCTCTGTTACTTAATTAAGAAAGTATTTTTTTAATAATGTAATGTTCTTAAATATATGGAATAGATAAGACAAGAAACAATATATATGTTGTGTCATTTTAAATTAAATGTATAGAACAATCCGTTTTGTGGGACCGGTATTAATATTCTTATAATTAAAAAAAATGTTGATGCTGAATAAAAAAAAAAGCGTCTGTCAAAAAGAATAAACGATACCAAGACCTGAAGCTGCAGGAGGACGTCGCCCCCTGCTGTTCACATGGACACACTGCAACTTGACCGAAAGACAACCTTCACAATAAAGGTCCACTGAGCGGTGTTATCTTCAGCTGTTTATACATATTCCATTTACATCCATTCCGCAAATAAATAAATAGATCTTACTCGTTCTCTCTCTAACCAATAGAAGTAGTAAACTCTTGAAAAAGAAACTGATCATTTTAATCATTTTGCAAAAAATTCAAAGCTTTTCATTTAGAAAAATACAAAAACGTTTTTTCAAAAATATAAATTAGAGTTTGGAATAACATTCCAAACTCTAATTTATATTTTTGGAATGTTATTTTGTTGGAAATAAAATATGATGAAATAAAACTTTTTTCACAAAAACATTCCAAATATCAGAAGTGAAGAGAGACATATTAGTACATTATTAACGGTTTTATTGATGTATCTTTTTAACTACTTTAGAAACATTTTATTTTATTAGTAAATAAAAATTGTCTTTTTAATAATTGTAGATTTTCAATTTCAAATATGTATCTGTTAAGTTACTTAAGCTGTCAAAACAGTGTAATGAAGAGCTTGGAGGTAAAGGAGTAAAGTACAAGTACCTCAAAATGGTGTCACAAATACTTTACTTTCCACGTTTAAGTCTGTTGAGGAACAAGAGGAGACAAATCCGATCTGAATTCATCTTTAATGACACAAACAGCCTCAAACATCAATAAATTAACACAGAAAAATTAAAAAGGAACACTTTATTTTGGCGGGTTGAAGATGATACCGCTCTGCAGTCAGGTGACTGATGACCTCAAACTGCACGCAATGAGACGTAAAGAAACGCACAGCATAAACTTACCAAATCCATTGAGGAGAAATAATCAAACACGACGGTGGAGATTTTATTGCATTAAGTTCAACAGTCAAAGAAAAAAATGAAATAAAACCTCTTTAAAACTAGAAAATCTGAATGACTTCAACACAACCGCGTCGGCCGCTAATAAAAACACAACTTTCGTGCCCGTTTCACGCTCAGGGGGAGGAGTCAAGTCGTCGGCACGAAGCCACAGCGGCAAAGTACCAGGATGTAGAGCAGCTCGCCAGCACTAGCAATGTTAGCATCAGCACTAGCAACGTTAGCATCAGCGCTAATGAAAGTTCAGTCACACGATGATGTGGGAGTAAATTAGAACGTTTCAATTAGTAAGAATACAATATTTGATTTCCTAAATATTTGATTTATGTTTATTATTTTTATGAAGTAAAAAAAATGTACTGAAACAAAGAAAGAAAGTAGAACATTTAAGGGTTTACCAAAAAATAACATTTTCTGCCTCTCAACTAACCAGGAAAACGTAACTAACCTCTGCAGTGGGCAGATTGTCTAGCGGCCGTGTTGCATTGTGGGTGATGTAGGCGCCTGCTTCGAAGGAGACGACCTCTGTTGTTGGGTTACATCGGTTTGATCCTCACAGCTGGAAAACTACGAGTGAACAACAATGAAAAGAACGAGGAGACACCAAGCTCCTCCTCTTCCTCTTCTTCATCATCATCATCATCATCATCCGGCCGGTGGGCAGCACGCGATGAGGCGGTCTCGTGACGCTCAGCATGAAGGTTTGACTCCTGTGACGGCAGATTCTTCTTCTCCTGTCGCTCTGGCGGCGGCTGTCCGTCTCTCCTCTGAAACTGTCTCTCTCTCTGTCCACCTCTCAGGTGCGTCTCCTCTTGGCCCCCCCCGGGCTCGCCGGGTTGGAGGACGACAGCAGCTTCTCGGCCGCTCGACTCCTCTTCT